TTGTGAACTGTCAGTTCTGTAAAAATGGTGTTTTGTAAAGGGTTCACAGTGTTTCATTTTGAAGTTGACCTGAAGCTGCTTATGAATGGTGGATGGTATATACAGAATTTAGAATATGATTAATTTTTATGCTGTGAATTACGGATGAATTTGATTTGGAATACGTTTAAGCATCTAAATTCAACAGATGAGCACATTGTGTCAGAAAACAGGAATAGTGAAAAATGGTGTTTTGTAAAGGGTTCACAGTGTTTCATTTTGAAGTTGACCTGAAGCTGCTTATGAATGGTGGATGGTATATACAGAATTTAGAATATGATTAATTTTTATGCTGTGAATTACGGATGAATTTGATTTGGAATACGTTTAAGCATCTAAATTCAACAGATGAGCACATTGTGTCAGAAAACAGGAATAGTGAAAAATGTGTCAGTTTTAAGATACATTCTTTCATATGTTATGCTCTATGAGTTTATCTTGGCAAAGGGCAGTTGAAACTCTTACTTCTGGAGAAATTGACTTTACAAAGTAAAGCCATGATCTTTCTCTGCTATTTTTCCTCTTCTCTGCAGAGTAGTTTTATTTTAGGTTGCATGGTCTGTTTAAAAGAAGGCTTACTATTTATGTTTAATATGAAGAGTTTAAAGTAATTATTTCTGAAATTGAACTTTCATGAATATTGAATGTCATGAAATACTTGTTTGCTTCTCATGAAACCTTGCTCCAGTAAGGTCAGTGGCAGTAAGATTTCATCCTTTTGTTTTTGTAATTTTCAGAAAAAAACTGTTTACCACTCATAAGTACAAATGCAGCCTGAAGTTTTGGTTGGAATATGTTATGTGAGGCACATTGTCTTTTAACACTGTTATTTGTGGGACGATTGAATCAGTTCTGTGTGCGTGTGTGTATATGTATGTGTATATTGCACTTTGACATGCTCCAGTGGTGGTTATTTCAAAAAAAGGTTTTTAAAAAAAAAAAAAAAAGAAAGAAAAAAAGTGTCTTCTCGGTCATCTCACAATCTCAGAAGCCCTGGCAGTTCATGCTGGAGTGACTGAGAAGGTTCTCATCCCTAAATGATGTTCTTTCTTCTTGTGAAATGGAAGCCCTGAAACAGAAGTAGTGGACCAGGTGGGGTATCTAGTCCTCAGGCATTGCTATTCTCAGTCAGCTGCATTGGGATCAATTGGTTTCGCTCTGGTAATGCACCAGGCTATGCACTGCAACTGGGAAGAGCTTTGCTTCGTGATCTCTGTTGGATTTAGTTGTGGCAGTTGAGGTGATTGCCAGTAGGTGTAATCTCTTTAATCACTGCTGCTAAATCCAGTAAGAATCATGAATTGGATCACACAGAAATTATTTTATTTTTAAGTGTGCATTTTCCATTGATTTAAAATAGCAGGAAAATAACAATTCCTTTATTTATGTTTAAAGCAGATGTGAACTGTAGGTATTTTTAAAACAAGCAAACTTACTTATTGCAGAAGCAGTTTTGGGGGGGAGGATTAACCATGTAGTTTCAGTACAAAAAGTAGGAGATTAATTTCTTCTGAGCACTTGAAGGGGGGTAAAAATACTGTAATTAGTACCTACTTAATGCAGATAGTTTTGTTCAGCATTTAGCAAAGTGGATTCTGGTATGGACTAGGTTGACTAGGACTCTTAAGCACTTTGATGATACAAAAAAGTAACAGTCATAACTGGTATTTAGGACAACTGCATTTCTGAAGAAGCATAAGGTGTCTCTGGGCAATGCAGAGCTAATCTACATCTGCTTCCAGAGTCCTTTGCAAAGTGAAGAATCAATAATAAATGGTCATAGAATCTGTAATTTACTAAACACAAGAGCTTCTAAGAAATCTTTCTAAGGATGTAGTATAGATGTGGCATATTTGTTTTGTCTGTTTCCCTCATTAGAAAATAAATATCTTTACCTCATTTCCATTCAGCTTTTAAATACCCTGAGTTTCAAAAACAAAACAGTTATTCTTAAACTAAAGTGTTCTAATTTGTTGTGTCATAATCCACATGTTTTTGTTGTATCTTTGTGGGCTTATATTCCTTTTATAAATAAATTCACTCCAAAACTTAAAGTCTGTAACTCGTGAGGTTATTTGGCCTCACATATTGTTTTTCAAAACTGTCTAGAGAACAGGGAAGTAAATTTGCAAGATATTTCAGGTTTTCTTTTTTTCCCCCACAATGGTCTGTTTTCTATAGAATTCTTAAAAAGTTTGACCTGGTCTTAAAAACTGGAGAAGGATCTTTTGAAAAGACAGTATCTTTGAATATACAGGCAAATTTTCAAGGTTCTGTCTGTAAAGACATTCTTTCTCATTCTTGAATAAAATAAATGAATCTTTGTTTGTGGCACGGAACTGACCAACTAGATTTTGTATTTAAAATAAAACATTACATTGTTGAAGGACCAAAGTATTCTGGAAATAAGGATGCTAACTTTACAATTTAGATATGCATGTTATTCATTCTTTGAACGGCTGTAACGGTGCACTTAACCGAAAATGTTCGGTGAGTTCCTTGAGCAACATTTGAGCAAATAAATAATTCCAATTATTTCAGTAAGATGACCCATATACTTAAAGTATAGGCTTGTATTTCAGTACCTTTCTGAACTTGACTCATTGTCTGTTTAGTTATGTGCCTAACTCAGTTCCTATTTAAAAGGGCTAAATGCCTAAGCATCTCTTAAGTTTATCTGGTTAAGTGTATATTGAATTGGCTGTATGTAAGCGCATACTTAAATTAGGCATATACTTATGTACCTTACTGACCAAGGATCTAAATTAGAATGCAGACACATCACTTTAGGAGCCATTTCTGCCGTTGCATTTACTTGAGCCATGTTTGTTGATCCTGTAGAAACCTGCATGAGTATCCAGTTAATCGCAAGATGCTAGTTGTTCAGGATAAGGTCTGTTTCATTAGTCATTTGAAAACACTTAAGTATTTTGATTTTCAAAAGAACTGGTACATAATTCTATGCCTAATTTGCATGCACAGCTGCTGGAACTGTATATTCGAAAGCCTGTTAGTTAGCTACATATGAGGCAGGACATGCAGCAAAGTACCTGATACTCATGAGCAGTCAGGCAAACCAGGTACATCTCTCATTGCATGTCTGACTTCAAAATGAGATCTGTAAAGAGTGCTGAACATTGTGATGATGACTTAGATTCATGCATGTTTTCTAGAAAGCCCTGGAAATCATTATTGCACAGTTAATTCTTAAGTGCTAATAATTTTCCTATTTTTCTCCTTTAGATAGCAAAATCAAGTGGTTTGTTACATGTTAAGGAGCAAGGTGCTTCAAAATTTAACATAAATAAAATAAATGTAAATAGGAAGCATGAGAAAAAAATGGGTACTGTTATTTTATCTTTTCTGTTCCACCCATGCTACATATAAATTAAGTTTCATTTAGATTTGTTTTGTCCTTTGGTCATATCCAACTGTAACCCAGTCCTTGCTGCAGATCTGTAGAACAGGTTTGCAACACTTTTTTCTTCATTTTATTTTTTTAAAGTAGTATGTTTCCTGTGGGGTCTGTTGGAACTCATATACCTAAAACTGCACAGTGTTTTGAAACTTACCTCATATTTTGCTTTTTGATAAGAATATTTATATATTCACTTTTAAATCCTGAAGTTTAGGGGGTTTATAGTTAAAACATACACAGTTTGAACCAAAGCAGTAAAAGCCACTTGCATAGTATTTGTATATACCTTGACTTTTAAAACAATGTTTAAATAAAAGCATTTACTTAATTAAAGTGCATGGGATAATACCAAAGGGCTCAGTTGCATAGCATATATACAATTATGCCAATAATTTTGAGTAGATCATAGACACCTAGTATCATTAGAACTTCTTTCTGTAGTTTTTCAGTTTAGTGTTTAATGTTTGTACCAGTTTAAATCCCTTTGCATTTCAAATTTAATACGTACATTTAATTGTAATCATAATTGTTTAACTATTAAATCTTTTGATTTTTGAAGATTTTTTGGGGTTCATTTAGCAGTCTAATTGTGACTTAACATTGAATGAAACCTGCGTTTAATTCAGGTTAGATATTACTTAAACTTTGAGCATGACAGGGGAAATATAATCTGGTTGACATAGTAGGAAATACGTATTTTGGGAAAATATAGCTTGCTTAGCTTATCAGTGATGATTTTTTCAATCTCAGTAAATTTAACGTTAATTTATCAAAGTTTCGGATAAACTGAGGTGACCTAGAATGTGAGACAGTACAAATCTAAATTTTTTTTGCCCTCCCCTCCTCCAGCTCTAACTTCACTTGTAGTGTCTATTGTGTGGAGTCACAGTAGTTCAGTAGTTTTTATTTTATTTTTATTTATTTTTACATCCAAAGCAGGTAGCACCAAAGGAATTAAAAAAGCACAGATTTCAGTTAGCACATACTTTGGTTTTTCTTTTTTTTTTTTTTGTTTTTTCTTTTACTGATTTGGTTATTTGCCATTTCTGGGGATTAAACTTTAAAAAATGTTCTTCTTTTCTGTATCTGATGTTCTGTGTGCTATTAGTGATGCAGCCAACACGAACGGTTGTCATGTGTAAAACAACTTTCGATCACCGCGAAAACACCGCCCTGGGAAAGCGTCCATGCTTGATATCGTTTGGTTCATGAACATTAAGTTTCCAGTACAGGTGACCCATAGCTCAAAGTGTTAAATAATTGTATACATTATTCAGTTTTTAAAATAATAATCCATTAATGAGATTGCTAGTCTTTGAAGTTTTGCTCACTTTCGTTTTTCCTAGTAGAGCAGGGTAAAAGGAAAAACTTAAGTTCTTATTTGTTTCTTTGTAAGGATCTGGTAGATAGATTCATTGTTATTTATTACATTTTTAAATGCAAGGGTAACTGTAAAATCATAGAAAGAGTAACATCTGTGTAGCGTTCCAACTCTGTGTAATGCTTTCATTTGCTTCTTCAGGTAAAATCCCAGATGAAGCCAAAGCCCTTTCTCTGTTGGCGCCTGCTCCTACTATGACAAGCCTGATGCCTGGTGCAGGGTTGCTTCCTATACCTACACCAACCCCTTTGACTACAGTAAGTAAAATTCAGTTGCTGTTTGATTTCTGGTTTCCTCTACACTCAGTAGCCTTTTCTGTGTTCAGGGAACAAGAACTATCTGATCTATGGATGTTGTCCTCTTGTATGCTAGATCAGTGAGGGTTTAGCTGTGGTGCTTCTTTTGAGGGTAGATCACAAGACGTCCATGCACTATCTTTCCTGGGTTTTTCTTTCGGATTATTATTTTGCAAAACAGTGGGTAAATACTGATTTTGATTGTGTTCATTTTAATTGTTGTCCTTCCCTAGACCTGTTAATTTGGTCCAGTGGCAGTGCCATCCACCTCCAGAAAATTTGTTAAAATATTATGGTTACATTGACACAGTTCTTCAGAATATTAAAATGCTTCATGAGGGTGCTTTTACTTGATATCTCTACAACAGGACTTTTGAGTGCCTAACAATGTTTTCACTACAAAAAGTGTAGGAGCTAGCTGCTGCTACTTCTGCTCAGTTCCCTTTTGCCTCTGTAAGCCTTTCCTGACATCAGCTGGCTGCTGTGACCTATTCAGGGAAAATTTCAAGTTTTTTCTTATGTTACCTGAAAAAAATCCTTACTGGTGGCTTGTTGAGAATTTTTCACACTTGTTAGAAAATTTGTTTGTTGGAAAGGCAGTTGCTTTTTGGGTGGTGAAAATAAAATTGAAACCAGGAACTCAGCAGACCAATTTAGTAGTGATTTTTAAGTGACTTTTTTTTATAACATTCCCCAGGAGAGATTTCAATTCCCAGTTCCAAAAATGAGAGCTGTGTTGTCCTCATTCTCTAGGAAGTGACTGTGTTTGTGGGAGAAGAACTTAGACTTAATATACTTCGCATTTCAACTGTAATTAATCTTGCCTTACGTGATGTGTTTGTCCAAAAGAGACCTTATCTCTCCCTTTGATGGACTGATATCTATTACAGAACAAATTGGCCCTGGGCACTGCAAATTCCCTTTTTCGCTTGGGCAAGGGCTCAGCAGTTCCTCATCTATTCCTAATACTTGTTGTGGCAAAAAATTAAGAATATTAGCAGTGTCTGAAGGTATCTCACATAATTTGGTTGACTGCAAGCATTAGAAATTCAAGCCTATATGTTTTCTGATTGATATACTGCATCCCTGGCCAAACCTCTTTGGTAAGATCTTAACTGATAGCCCACAGAATATCTTAACTATAGGAAGTTATTTATGGGTAGATTTTTATTATTTTAAAAAAGTGCTCAGCTGCGCCCTTAAAATTTAAAGTATTGTCTATATTCATTAGATTTATTTTTACAGAAAAGCACGAGGCAGGCAAGTGAAATCTCTCTTACCAGTTTGCGGTTGCAAAGCATATTCTGTTTCTGTGTTTTCCAGCTCGGTGTTTCACTTGGCACTTTGGGGGCTATACCAGCAGCAGCATTGGACCCTAACATTACAGCACTGGGAGAAATACCACAGCCACCGATTATGGGGAATGTGGATCCATCCAAAATTGATGAAATCAGGAGAACCGTCTATGTGGGAAACTTGAATTCCCAGGTAGCTTTTTTATGTGTAATGGAAATACTAATGGAAGGTGTAGAATTGTAATTTATGAATTCTAATCTTACACGTTACAGAGTTGTCATTGGTTGATGACAATAGGAATTTAAAAAAAAAACCAACTCTTTTTAGTTATTAGTGATATATCGAATTTTGAATGCTCCTGTGCCAAACAGATTAAACCAGACTGTGGAATTCATTCTGGCAGGATACCAGGGAAATCATACTGTAGCTGAATTCAAGTAACATACTATGATTGTATGTCTTGATCAAATGTCCAACTGGGTTGTGTTAGCTGAGCAATGCCTCAGAAGTCATGAGATCATGGTAGCTGTCCCCCACAAAATTGTGCAGTTGCTTAAGTACGTAAGATGGAATGATGTGTCCTAGTGGAAGTTGCAAAATTAGCATAAATACCTTTGAGTTTCTATAACAGGAAAGTTAGGTGTGTCAGAAGCTTGTTTTTTCAGCAATTGATTGAATTAATTGAAAAAAAATTTGCTTTTGACTGATGGCAATATAAGTATTTTATTTTGGGGTTTTTTGACTGCCAAAGTAGCTACTAGAGTGTAAAAGTACTATTGATGGTGATAAATAAAACAGGCTGGAAGCTAGCAGAAAAACAGGTAAAAGCTAAGTCTTGTAATATTGTTTGGATTTTTTTTTAATTGATCAAGATTCACAGTCAATAGCTTGGACAGAGGTGTATAAGGAAATTCCTCATCAGTTATTTCAAATGAGTTGCCTGAAAAGTGCAAAATCCTGTCCAAATGTTTTTTTTACCTAGATGTAGGACTTCAGGGCTTGTGGTTGCCACTATTTAGAATATTCTTTACGTTAATGGCAGAAAAAATACTTGTCTTTCTTGAAGTGTACATTACCAAATTCATGTCGCCTGTGTGATAATGGTGAGATATCTTTCCAAAATCTGTAGCTCTTAGATTACCTGATATATTGGATAAGTGGTTTTCATTATATATTTTACTTCAGCTGAGCTCTTCGACTCTTTCTAGACTACGACAGCGGATCAGCTGCTTGAATTCTTTAAGCAAGTTGGAGAAGTCAAATTTGTGCGAATGGCAGGTGATGAGACGCAACCAACACGATTTGCTTTTGTGGAATTTGCAGACCAAAATTCTGTACCTCGAGCTCTTGCCTTTAATGGAGTTATGTTTGGAGACAGGCCACTGAAGTAAGAAATTAATTATCCATATGACTATTGAATGAGAGATTTCTTTGTAACCATGTACGTTTATGACTCTGATGTGCAGGAAACTGCTGTGATGAATATTTTTTCAATATAAGGACCTATTGTTAACGAACTGGAACATTTCTGTAAACTCCAATTTCAAGGTTGGGCATAACTTTCTCTGAGAAGAATATGGATGGCGTTGAGTAAAATATATTTATATTTAATCTTGAGGTAGTGGAAGCTATAATGGTGAAAGAATCTGCGAAGTCCTTAGTACTAATTAAGCTTTCTATATGATGTGTATGTAATTAGTAGGCCTTAATATAGAGATTTGATCTGAAATAGAGAAATAGATTCCTAGACTTCTACGAGAAAGTATTTTAACAGAGAAATACTGTGCCGCATTTATTTAAAAGTGGTAAGATTTGAAAGCAATAAACACTTCAGATACTTAGAACAGATGAGTCTTAGGACAAATCTGTAGTTTTTGCTGAACTTTGAAATTTTTAGGGGTACATGGAAGTTGAAGTGTTTTCCTTCCTTAGTTGTTTTTCATTTTCACTTCTCAAGTGTTTGGGAGTCAAAGGTTTTATTTTCCCTTAATTTAGAATAAATCACTCCAATAATGCAATTGTGAAGCCTCCTGAAATGACACCACAAGCTGCTGCCAAGGAACTGGAAGAAGTGATGAAGAGAGTAAGGGAAGCCCAGTCTTTCATATCTGCTGCTATTGAGCCAGGTAGGTATATTATGTTCATTACCTAACAACAGACACGTTCTGTGTATACCTTGGCACATGCTTTTAAGAGCATTTTCAAACACAGGAAAAGGGTACTCCAAGGCGAACAATATGTGTGGGAAAAAAAAGAAAATAATCAAAATTGTGTTCATGCAACAAAGCAGTGGAATGAAGCTGACTTTTTATTTCATCATGTCTTGTTTTCAGATACATGCTCACTGAATGATTTCAAAAATACAAAGTTAATACTAAATTAATACTTAGTTTTGGTGCTTTTTAAGTTCAAAGTACTTACAAACTTTTAAAAGAAAATGCTTATATTTTGTTTTATTCTCCTCTAGCACCCATTAGTGCCATAGTTTCATGATCAGAGGGAGCTAGCATGGTTCTGAAAGCAGCAATATTACGCTTTCCTTATCTGCAGCAGGTTAATTTTGTCCCTGTGCTATGCTGTTTCTCATGCTGGCTCAAGACTGTGCATCTTCATAGCAAATGGGATCAGAGAATGAATCTGGGATAAAACTTAACGTATTGTAGAGGATGTTTTTTCATCCAGATTGGTTCCCTGATCCCTGTTAACACTGAGATGCCAGGTCAAGGAGGAAGGTGTTGGTGGGTTGAAAGGTTAGACAGACATTTCAGTGCTGATTTATGCTGAGTTAAACTGATTGCAAAACCACACCATAAAAAAATTCTCAGCTTGTTAAACTTGCAGTTGAGATCCTCCTTTTTCTTTTCATCAGCAATTTATCATTCTTAGTAAGAAACCCAGACATTGTCTTATGTAAGTTAGATAGTGCAGAATCTTGAGGGGTTTTTTTAGGGGGGCTGGGTGAGTATTTTCTGTTGTTTTTTAGGGTTGGAAGAAAAATATCTCTAACATATCCTCGATGTTAAGCAGCAGAATAACAATCTTTTAGAGTCTGAACCAAAGTCTGGTGAGGTCACTGTTAAGGTTTCTCTTGACTTCCTGGCCTTTGGATCAAACTTTTCACCCTGTTCTCTCCATCCCTTCCTCCCGCAACACAATGTTTGAGGAATAAGGCTTCAATATTTGTACAGTGGTTGAAATATCTAAAAGTACTAATTATTATTTATATTTTATGCTTTTTTCAAAATTATGCCCTCTAAATTTACTCTATTCTTCTCAGGTTATTTTGAAAAAAGAAAGTAATTATATTAAATAATAGACCAAGAGGAGAACATGTTGTGATCTTGTGCATTGTGGCAGCAACATAAATCCCATTCTTAATAGAGCTAGCTTTTTATAATTATTTGGTTTATGTGTACTGCTGCAGGATGGCTGCACTCAACGAGTATATGCAATGACTTTCTTGGATGTTTCTGAAGGATATTTGCAAAGAAGGAAGATATGCAAAGAGTAGGCCCCTTGCACTATATGTGGTACATTCCATTTGTGCCAGATTGTTAACTGGGATCTTTAAATGTTCTGAGCTTACACTGCAAAGTGGTTTTTTCCTCTCAGAGTCTGGAAAGAGCAGTGAAAGAAAAGGCGGTCGATCTCGTTCCCATTCTCGTTCAGAATCCAGGTCTAGCTCAAAATCCCGATCTAGAAGGAAAAGATCACACTCAAAACACAGGTAGGTATGGTTTTTATTTTGGACTAAGACATCATACTGGGGTTTTTTGAGTGATGGTGGTTAGTGAGATTTCTTACTGAGTTATAGGACAAGTATCCCTGTAGAGCTTACACTCAGCAGATCAGAGTAACCAGGAACTTCACCTGTGAGCAGATACTCTTT